AGAAAGAAGTGAGTGTCTTCTCTTAGGATGCTCCTTATCTCAGCATGGAAGAATTGCCTTAGCAGTAAGCACTGGACAGATCAGATCAAAGTCTGTCCTTTCAGCCCAATTCAGGCTTCCCTAGACAGAGATGTGAAAATGTCTCTCTGCAGCCCCATATATATATTGATGTGCCCTACTGTTGAAAAGGGAGGGACAGAAGTACTCAGGTCATAACAAGTCATCCTGTCCAGTGTGAGACACTTCTTTCAGGACCATAAGTACCAGGTATTTGATATAATAACTCAGCCAGAATCCTTTTATTTGTTTGTATTACTTATTTACATATAGAATCTGAGGGAAACAGTTTGGGAGAGAAGAAAGCAGACTTTGTATATCCTTGTAGATTAAGTCAAAACTAACCATGAACTTAAGGTGGTTTAAATATAGTTTCATAATTATAATTGCTATATAGATGTTTCCCAAGTGGACAGGCTAAACAAGTTGTTTTATAAACCTAGAATCTCAGAAAGTTTTAGGCACTGACAATATAGTACTTCTGCAATAACTCTTCCCTTGCTAATATTACAGTGACAACAGGCTCTTTTCTCTTGAATGAAGTTTTGTGACCTTAATATAGGAAAGTAAAGACTCCCGGAATCCTTAGTTATTAATCCCACCAATATCACTGAATAGTTTAGAACAGGATAGAAATGTGATTCATCCCTGCACTTTAGAGAAATGCTGTGAAAAACATCATAAATCAGCATGAGGGTTCACAAGCTTACAGCGAAGCGTGATAAAGTGCTTTACTGAACTTGAACTAGTGTTTTTCAGTATCTAGTAAAACCAAGCACTGTAAAACATCAAATATTTGACACAAGATTTTTCATATTTTATGTGTGTAACCTTAAGAATGCTGGTGACAATTCATTTGGACACTTGTGTGAAAGGACTTTATTTCAACTTTTGAAGTCTTGAGACATTAATTTCTAAAGCATTTTCCATGGTCACGAAAGAAAGGGGCTGATGAGCTTTGAAGAAGGACAGTGTGATCTTAAGCTTTTCATTGGGTATAATTAAAATGATGTGGTGGCCCAGTGTTGATAATCTTTTCAGGAGCTGATGGCAGGTCTCCACTTATGCTTGCTTTTGGAGTTAGGTGCTGCATGGAACCCTTTAACAGCTCTTATTGCCTAAATCATTCCCCACAAGAGAGGTAAAGCTGGAACAGACTGTGACAACCCACACATCCAATTTTTTTCCTAAGACAAACATTTTTGCAGAATGTACAGAGGAATAGTTCAATGCCAGATGAACAGAATGCAAACAGATATCTAGATGAGAGATTGGGGGAATAATCTCAAGTCCATGGTGCCTAATCCTTTGATGGCAGCTGAGGAAGCAGAGAAACAAAGCCAAGGGGGAATAAATTATCATGTTTGGACTCATCTGATCAGTCAATATCTTATTTGATGTGAATTAATAGCTAGTCAACAATTCAAAATCAAATCTAAATTTCTCAGGATTTTTTAAAAGAAACTTTTTTTCTGAAGGAGTTGTGTTTTCTTGGAAAATAGTTTTCTAATGTACTTCTTGAGAAATTATTATAGGAATACGTTCGTGCATTCTTGGAAAAAGCATTCTACAGTGAAGACTTGTGACATGATCACTGGATGAAAATATTTTAACAAAAAGGAAGCTTTGAAGCTTCAGTCTGTGGCTTATCCTTTGTAATTACATAAGATCCATCACTTCATAAGAAATTTATTGCTTTTTTGACGAAAAGTTATTATTCATTATTATACAATTTTCTTTATTCATCCCTAGCATTAAAACATAGGGGTAGTTTACTTCAGAGATAAGCAGTGAAATGTGTATTACTTTGCTTTCAGTAAGTTATAACAAAAGTTTTTTTATGAAAAAATGTTTTGTTTTGTGTGGTTGTTCTTTCCTTTTCAAACCAAATCACATGATTTTTTGCCAGAAATCATTGTATTAACCTAATCTAAATTACCATGCTTTAACTAGAAATGAAATCACTAAATAACACTGTTGACAGCTTCTGTCACAAACCTGAGTAACTGTTTATCTAAATTACAAGTTAAATACATTAGAACTAATATCACTATTTGCTAGACATTTGGAAACACTCAGAATTTTGAATACACCAGAGTTTCAAAAAAAAAAAAAAAATTTAATTCCATTCTATGTTAAACTATGCTTGTATAGAAATTAAGATTTTACTTTGGTAACCTTCAGTGGGAATTGACTAGTGACAGAAATGAGCATTAGTGTAAAAATTGAGCATTTGTACAGAACTATATTACCCATTATAATTCCTCTATTAACACTTGTCATAACGTCACTTCACTCTTCAAAAGCCTATTTTGTTCAAAATCTTAAGGGATCATTCCTTTTATGTAGACAGAGTGTCATTCTAATACAATTTGCTTTCATATAATTGGGCTTTTCCCCTTCTTTTTTAATGTCAAATACCTTTTGATACCTTTATAAATTTCATTGAGTCTGGATCTTAGACTTCTGAAAACATGAAATTGAAAACTATTTCGTCTCATTCAAATAATAAATGTGATGTGAAATAATTTTCACAGCAGATTGAATTCCTAGAGGATGCTTAATAATATCTTATGAAGTTTTCAGAATTACATCTGGCAAATTAATATAAGTGGTCAAAGTTTAACCACAGCGGCAGAGAGACTGTGCTCTGTATTGAGGATCTAAACTCATAATTGGTCTTATTTTCAGTTTTAAGTGTAGACCTATGTCACTATTACATTTTCTGTGTTTCTGATGAGTTCATGCTATATGTCCAAGTATTGGACTCCCCAAGTGCATAGATGAAGGTGAAAAAATAGTGTAGGTGTGGAGATTTTAAATAACACAGTCATAATGATAAGCAGTGTAAGGGAATTCTGTATTCAATTCCCCCTAGAGAACTGTGTTCTGTCACTTCTAACTTTGGATATTTTTAATCTCTTTAAAAACATATTCCTGCTTAAGGTGTAAGAGTGCATCTTTCTTAGAGGAAACATTGATGGAAGATGTTATATAAGGATGTCCTCAGCCCGTGTGTCTGTCAGGACTGGGGACATGGGCACAGGCAGATTTGGGGACTGAAGCTCCTTGAATATCCAGCAGTAGTGACATCCACAAGTTCACAATCCAATCCTATGGAAAATTAATGTAGTTGTGAAGGTAGTTGGATTTATCTTAATAAGAGCTCTATAATTAAACAAACCCATTGCCTCTTTTTCTGAATTTGAGCTAATTACTAAGTAATTAATTGGAAGTAGATAATCATTCATACTTTGAAAACAAATTGAAAATTATATTTAAACTGCTGTGTTTGCCAGTCAAAATTACTGAGGAAGATTTGTAATTCTGGAATAATAAATTTCCTTGTGTGGCTTTTTGAAATAGATGTTTTAGTTTGTCCTGTTTCCTGTGTCTAACCATTTTGTTGCTACTGGTACCAGTACTGTAGCTTTGTCCCCATGTTAATCTAATAAAATCCAAAAGCCTGGGGTAATATTGTGAAGAATATCTATGGGTATCCTGAGGGAAAAACAAGAATCCCATACTGCTGTGAGGGCAATAAAAAGCAATGCTGTAATTTATTGTTGTCATTCACATGAAATATATTTTGTGCTAAAATGGCCCATCTGGAGCATACCCGTAGAAGGGGACATATGCCTGTCTTTTAGCATACTTATTTATTTTGTCTAATGGACATAATATATAAATGAAGTGCAATCATTTTTATTTACTCTAGTGATGTCAGCATCACTAATAAATCTACAATTCACATGCAACTTCAGAATAGCAGAAACAAATTTGTCAGTGTTAACATATTTAGACTGATATTATTATTTTATTTTACAGGGTTAAGGCCATTCCTTGTGTCTTTTAAGTATTTTTTTCCTCCTGTTACAGGGTAATAAATTTCAAGAGTAATGTTTAAAAGATCTATGTACATATCATATGAAAAATGGTTCTTGTTGAACCTTTCTTTATAAATAAAATTGCACATAAATAAATTACAACAAAAACAGTAGAACTAACAGTACTCTGAAGCAGAACTGTTATATTTTTGCCACTGTTTATACTTCATTATTGTGTAGGAATTTTTTACTGAAGTGATGAAAAAACTGAAAAAATGCATTAGAAATTTTATGCAGCATTTCTGAAACTGAATGTGTGTGTAGCAAAATAAGGATTTAAAACAATGGCAAAGAAATAGCGGTGTTTGAAGTCTGTTGAATCAGCAAAAACATACATTTATCTTTTTTCAGAGTGATCTGAGAAGGCTTTATTATTTTGATAAATGGGGATTTATTATTTAGTTAAACTAAGAATATTCTTATCAAATCTTTCACTAATCACCTGCTGTATATTTATCACTCAGTAACAGACAGAAGAGAGGAGGTTTATTTAGTCTTCCAGAGAGTATTTCACAAACACCAACTTCTCCTATTCCCAGGCAGTAGACAATAATGAAGCAAATGCAGCATTGACAAGTCTAATAAAATAGGAGAATATTTTTCTTTTAAAGGTTCCATAGCTCATTTCTTACCTGCCTAATTGTTTTCATCATACTGAAATTTATATGAGTCTATTATATTTTTAAATGAATGGTACTATATTTAAGCATGATTAATGTTATTGCAATAACTACCAAAGGAGGTAATCATAATATGCCGCTTATGATAATGTCTTGCCATCGTTTTATATCACAGTGATGTTTCAGTGAATTTACACCATTGTGAAGCCAACCATTCTGCTATGGTTCACTATGATTAATGTGACCACCAGTGAAAGATGATAATAGTCTCCTTCGTAAATTTTAGTTAAATAGAGGATCTCCCCAGAATAAATTTAATCTCATTTTAAATGTGAAATATGGCAAATGACTTCTCTATCAATTCATTAGAAATATTTAATGAGAAGTGGAAGTTACTATACACTGAAAAATGCTATTAAAATTCTTGTTTTCCTAGATTTTGGTGAAAGGTACCGTAGGAGATGGTTTCACTGGAGACATTGGACTGGATGATGTGTCTTTTCAGGGCTGTACTCTTTACAATGGTAAGAGCTGAAATGCACATTTCCAAGCTGTGGGCTGATTCGTTGCTGTCATTTGTAAATATTGCTACTAGAAAAGTGAAAACCAGGTAAATCTGTGACTTAGGAAATCCAGACTCGCTTCTTTGCTTCTCATATCCAGGCATCAGCACAAAATACTTCCTGATGTGCATGTAAGGTCCAAAAGAGTTCCTTAGTGAGAAGTGTGCAGCTTCCATACTCTAAGATCTTGATTCCTAAAAGATAAAAGAAACTAAGCTGTGTGTAAATGAACTGAACTTTCATTCAGCCAATTCAGTTTGATATAGCTTTCACCTCCACCTAATAATTCTTAACGTACTTACTGTGCCAATTGCTCTCACATGACAGCACACAAACAGTTCAGGTGATAGAGCAAGCTGTTATCAACAGTCATTTTCACCAAGGGTAGAACAACTCTACAGAACTGTAAAAAATTATATCCCAAAATGCACGTACTTCAGGACACCAGACTCAGGATCTGGAGTTCACCACAGAAGAGATTTTAAGAGGTACTGTGAACTGCAGCAGGCATTGCAGGGTTATATATATGGTGTGTTGCTCTAAAAGTCATGACAGGGCTGTAGAGCAGCAAACAATTTAGAACAGAGTCTGAATATTATCCTAGCACTTACTCTAAAACACCTTAATGCAGATGCATTTTGTTCTGCTACTCCAAGAATTTCTTATAGATATAATTATTTCTATGAGGAATATCAAATGTGTATGGTGTTTCTTTTGCAGATAATTATCTAGTGTTTTACTATATTTATGCAGGGTAAAGCATGGCTATAAAGGCTTTTTGTAAATACTCATTTAATAGATTGTGCCTTATATTCGGGGAAGAAAATCTAAAAAAAGCATCAGAAAATTCCTAAATATTTTCAAATTAGTTATGAAGAAAACTTTAAAAATAAACAAGAAATTGGAAATCATAGAAGGTCAGAGTTTCAAAATTCATAAATAAGAAAAAAAACCCTCCTTGTATGTGGAAAGATAAAATGAAAATATTCAAGTATAATGGTGGACAGGAATCAGGTTTTGTGTTCTGTACATTTTAAGATTGAGAGCAATTTTTGAGACAGTCCAGGGTCCTGCCTTTATTTTATCTCCTCCATGTCATAAAAATATTCCAATAACAAAAACAAAACAAAACAAAACAAAACAAAACAAACAAACAAAAAAAAACAAACAAACAAAAAAAAACCAGTCAAAGAGACTTTGGGAATAACCTGCAAAAGAGACAACAGGTATGGCATATTCCACTGTATTTAACACAAGCTGGTTCAAGTTGAAAAAGCACGGTTCCCCTGTCCCTGCACATAGAATCAAGCACTTCCCAATTGCTCTTGTTCCACCTTAAGTGACCAGATACTGACAGGGAGAGATGGGCTTGACAGCTTGGTGGGAAAATCTCTTGTAAGTAACATTAAAGATTTTGAATCTTGAATGTACTACTTCAACACATCATTTGAATGCCTTAACCAAAGCCTATACAGTGATGCTTGCTCTGGACAAAATGGTATTTAATAAAGTATGGAAAATAAATTGTTTCAAAATAGAGGAAGTATCAGATCCTCCTTTCTTTTCAGGTATGGTGAAGGCTATGATTATTAAAAATTTCTTCTTCCATTTCAGTGTATCAGGAGCAGAGGCTTGGATGTGTCATTTATATTTAAAAATTTCTGACAAATGAGGTCCTTGCTGTTATTCTGAGTTGTAGATAAATTTATCAATTCATACAATTCTTGCTTTAAAACATTCTTTCCCTCAAGTCCTTTGTTTGAGTTTTAGGACATGTTGAGAGTATCTTTCATTTGACTGGAAAATAATTTATTTAATGTCATAGATTTGCTTTCTACCCTACAAAATGGAAATGGGTAATTTATTATCAATATTAGTGCTTCAGCCTTCAAGGAAAGGAAAAAAAATTACTTGCTAGCTCAGACACATTTTATATTAAAAGTCTTCACATGTACTTTTTAATTAACTCCGGTGTACTGCTCAGGTGCATTGTGCACTACAGCTAATAATTTCATAAATTATTAAATTTTAAAAAGGAATTTTATAATGGAAATTCCTTTTATGGACAATAACAGCAAAGGTTTTCAAGAAAAGAAAGTAAGCTTGTAGAAGGGTGCGTAGTAAAGAATATGAGGACAAAAAAAGACAATTGATTTGAAAGAAGTGGTAATGAGTTTGAATGAAATATAAAGGAGGTGGTGGAGCAAGGTGGTGACCTCAGAATAATTTCTCTAATGAGAAAATATTTTTTTTCAGCAATAAATTTACAAGGTAAGAAGGTTAAATAGTAATTTCCACAGTCGCTTGTAGTAATCAACATGTTAAAAAAACCCATTATCATCTGAATAATCTGTTAGTCTTGGTTCACAGGGAAAATCAGTTTCTGTGATTGCTGTGTGAGTCTTGGCATTAGTTTTTTTGAAATTAATGACTGGGTTAATCCACATTTGAAAGACTAGCAAGAGGTGTAAATCCTGCAAGGGCCAAAGATATTTAGATGATGTGACAAACCTTGTTCTTTGCACTGAGGAAAGCTCCAATTCAGCTCCTGCTGAACAGCGTTTTAGTCACTCAACCATCCAGGCATGATTCCAGCAAAGCCATACCCTGGGAAAGGGGGGCAGTGGCAAGGGGAGAAATCACTATGAAGCTGGAATGTCTTAGTCCAGGTGCTCAACATCCATTTGGCTCCTCTTTCGAAGGAAACTTGCCCACTGTTTCTACAACTACTTCAGGAACTTCAGTTCCTGCCACGCTCCCCATGAACAACTGCACAGAGAAGGAGTTTGTCTGTCGAGCCTCTGGCCACTGCATCCCGATGATCCAGAAGTGTGATTTTAGACCTGACTGCTCTGATAAGTCTGATGAATCAGCTTGTGGTGAGTGGATCAAATCATGGTCTTTGCTGCCTTACTGGTTTGTGGGTCTTAAACATATTGCTTTAGCAATGCTCTATCTTATTTTTGTAATTTGGCTATTAGCACCTAGATATTATTTTAATGTGATTTTGCCCAGGAAAATAATAACTTTTTACTCGTAATATGTGTGATGTAATGAGCTTTCAGCCTTCTGATTCAGACTTAACATTTTAATTCAAATTACTACTGAAGTGTGGCAGGGGAAGGAACCCTCAGTTCCTTAATGATTGGTAACCATACATGACAATTCTAAGCGAGCATGGTTTCTTAAAATGTTCACTAGTCCAGACTGGAAGAGAGAAAAACTTTAGTTTCATGTTTGGGGTAGACATCTGGGAGAACTGTATCCACTTCTTACCTACTTCAGTGAGTATGGGTTTTGTTTGGTTGTTGGGGTTTATTTAATACACAGAATTGTTTCAGCAGCAGCAATAATTGTGAAATTCAGCGTACTCCACACAGAAGTGTTCCAGTCTGTAAAGCTCTGATAGTCTTATGGGAACACTGTAAGGGGGACAATAGACAAGTCCCCACGTAGTGCCCAAAAAGATCTAAGACAATTATTGATTGCTTCTGAGTTGCACCAGTTCACACGATAGCATTTTAGAAGCTGTTAATTACTTCCTTTTGCCTCAAAGAACAGTACTTGAAAGTACAACTATACCAAAGCCAGTTAGAGAGGGGAGAGACATCTAGAGACAGTGACCTCATCAGCCTTTGCAAGCAAAACTATTGTCACTGAAAATGAAAACTCCGAATTCATTACACAGTGTGAAGGGAATTCAATCACCTCTCTCAGGGCTGAGGACTCAGTGAGGAAAAGTATCATTCACTCCCTATGTCTATTTCTTATGTGGGAATAACTGGAAGAAATGAATCTGATGTTTAAGTACCACTGGATACTTTCCTACAGTGTTAAAAAATACCAGCAATTGAAATCTTGATCTGAAGCATAAATGCAGAGCCCTCTGAATGCTTCTTCCATCAGAAATTTACACTATCTTACAAAACATCTTTTCCTTCTAAGCAAGATAAATACTGTGGAGAATACACCTTTACCTATTTGCTCTGTCTGAGCTCTCCCATCACCAAGATGGGAATTTATCACTTAAATGACAATGCTGGACTAGGACTTTAAAGCATCCTGACTGAAACACAAATATGGTCACAGGAAGGTGTTATCTTACTCAGAGGCACTTTAAATATAATGTTTACAAAGCATGTTAGAAGGGGAAAAAGCATTTAATGCAACTCATCATTCTGAGGTAATATCACAAATGTTCATATGGATAATTCATGAGATCACACTGGCTGCAGTTTGCTTCCTTAGTGAGGATATACAAGCTATAAATCAAAACTCACTCTCTCTTTAGTCTGCCATTTTTAGCTTTCAAGGAAGGAAAGATCAGGCACATTCTACCAACAAACCATGATTTCTTGATGCAGCATTTATTAATGGGTTTATGGGTTAAAATAAATTCTAGTTTCCCTTGCACAAGTCTCACAGCAGTCACTTGAACTTAAGTGTAATAATCTGTTCCAAAGTTCTCGAGAGTGACGACTCAACTTGGACTATGTGCTGGAGAATAAATATTCACAGCAGTAATGAAAATAAAAATTGGTTTCTTTACCCCAGGTAGGGTCAGTAGTGAGCTCACTTTGTTGCTCAGAAAGACAAAACTCATTGGAAGGCAGATGCATATTTATTTAGTAAGACAGTAATACAGTATTTGATACCAATACCAAATAGATTCATTTTTATGTAATTTTCAAGTTTTGTGAGGACTGCTTGAAATCTGATTTGTTTTTTTGGTATTTTTTTTAGAGTTATGGTAATGGACTTTGTAGATAATGTACAAACATTTGCTAATGTCATCAGTCTTCAGGACTGGAGACATAACCATACAGCAGCTCACAGATTCTTGGCTGATGAATTTTACATGAATTTTTGTGTATAGTACATGACAGATTATTATAATTACCTGAAAGCTGGTCAGAACTCACATGAAGGTAGATACTGAGGTGCAAATGAATTGGTATATTCCCAAAATTAGAATCCGTCTTATAGAGGAGAAAATACAAAATTCATGTTTTATCTGTAAAGAAAAAACTAGGCATGTTAGTAATGAGTCAGTGTTCACATATACTATAAATTGAATCCTTTTTATTTCCATGTTGTTAATTGAGTTGTAACATGAGTTAATGATTTTCAGTTTTTATATAAACATGAGTAATTACTCTTAATCTCTAAAGTTATGGAAGTCTGTGACTTTGAAGATAAAGACCTGTGTGGATGGCATCAACCAGCCTTGGAACAGATGGCAGAAAATGATTCCATACTCACCACAAAAAAATTCAAGTGGCAACTTGGAAGAGGAGCAAATCTCTATCCTGAGCAAGAAGAACACTGCCCATTAACTGATCATACTACGTGAGTACATTCTTCAGGTGCTTGAGTCTCTTCTAGAATGTATTATCTTAACCACGTATAGATTGTCAAGGGGGGGTAACTGCTCCATTTACAATATTGAAGCAGTTTGCTGATTTATTAATGCCATGTAATTAACTAACAATCAGTGAAGCGGGCATGCAGGATCAATACTACAGATGAATATAAATTTTAAAAAAGCATTAATAAGCAGGTAAAAATTTCTAAATACTTTTCTATAAGTAACTGCCAAAAGATTCAGTGCCTCCCCATCCAGAGCAACACGTGCCCTCCTTCCACAGAGGAGTATATGGAGTTCAAGCATGTTCCCCTTTATGGGAAATCAAGTTTGGAAGACATGGCTGCTCCAGCTTTAACCTCCTTCCATCACCCCGAGCTGCCAGCCCAGCTGCTGGCAGCATCCAGTGGGAGTGGTGCCCTGTCTGGGCTCTGCAGTGGTTGTGGCACCAGCAACAACCTCTGGCATGTCAAAAACAGGTCTCGGCCACTGTTCTTTGCACTGCATTATCAATCCCTACTATTACACATTTTCATTCTACTTTTACACTTCTTTTCAAGCTGTCTTCTCTTTTGAAATCTGGCTTTGTAATTAATTTGGCGCTGCTTTATTTAGTTCATTGTGGTCATCTTCTTGATCAGTTTTAGGTGAATACCTTCTCAAACAGAAATAACTTCTCATACAGAAAATATACGCTCACTTTTTTACCTTACTAACTATTGTTAGTTGTTGTTAGCTATTGCTACTAATTTTGTTATTGTTATTGATAATTATTCCTCTTATGCCAGCAGTTTTGCACAAGGGTGGGCAGCACAAGTTAACACAAAATGTCCTGTGAATTCTGCACTCATTTGATATTTAACTAATGCAGTTCAAAACTACTGTAGTTAGAGCTAACTTCAGTTCAGTTGCTATTTTTTAACAGTTCTTTTTATTTTACCTATCTACTTAATGATATAAGTTCATATTAAATGCAAAACATTTCTATTCTCTCAGTGAAGATTTGCAAATTAAAGTTGCACACTAGGTAGATTGCTTAAGATAGTTACTAGCTCCTCTGAAGATACTCCTTTGATTTATCTTGAGCAAAAATTAGCTTTTCTGTGCCTTTGGTTTTAAATGTATGGAGTTGCTTTGTTTGTTTTTTTTTTTTTATTAAATAAAAAATGTGTGTTAAAAATGCATTAATCTAATGTATTCCAGTTAAAAGTAACAGTAAGACTTATTGAGAAAGAAATCCGTATAGGTGACTAGCAAATGTATTTATTACAAACAATTTTCAATTTTATACAACTTCATTAATAAGAAAATTGAATTGAAAATGAACAGAAAAAAACTTGCCTGTTTCTAGTGACATGTATGTTTACTTTCTGTGACAATAGCCTATAGAGTGCAAAGACAGTCTTTGAATTAAGACCACTTCAACAAAATCTTGGCTATATTGCTACTAGTTTAAAATGATATTATTTTGCATTTAGTCAGCCTGAATTTCTATTGCTGTTAAAGAGCGAGCTCAATATGTTAGTTTCACTGTGTACTTCATTAAAATTACTGTATTTTTACAAGAGTCCCAAAACAACAATGCCAAACCCTCAAAAAATCATTCAACAATAGCAAAGAATTACAACACTGTCTGGTTGTTTCTAGGTCTCTACATTATATAGGAAAAGGAAGTGTATTCCATAAAAAAGAACAACCGTTTACAATAAATTAGCTGTCAAATCTTTCATTGACTGCTCTTTAATTGTTGCATATTAGCCAATACCAGCCCTGTAGGTGTACTTAGTAAATCCTCTCACAACCTTTTCACTACAGGATTTCATTGGCACAGTGATACATAGAATTGTGTTGCTGGTTTTCGGCATATTTTCAGGGTTTAATGCAACTAACACTGTACTGAGAAGGTCTGATGAAAAGAGAAAGTAAATGATCCATAGGGATTGCAGTTTTCAGGCAACTCTGTAATGTATCACTCTTGAGATGTTTCACATGAGATGCAGTTTGGTTCTATGGTTTTCCCCTTCCCTTTGTTTATTGGCCTATAGAGAAGCACAGAAAATAAATGCTTCCAAATTACCACAGGAGATGCAGAACAGCAGTTTTGTTGAATTAAAACCCTGCAACATTTAGTTTTATTTTCTCATCCATTTTCCCCAAATTTCCACTAGTTAGATGAGGCAAGCTGTGTTACTATAATCTTGTATCTTTGCAAATTAAAATAAAATATGCAGGACTATGTATAGAAATGTTTGGATTCATCCTGATGCAAGAATAGTCGGCAATGCAGCTTAAAAATATTTCAGCAAAAATACCTGCGAATACTTGGAGTCAAACCATCTACTTCCCCAGAATAAGTGCTTGGGCTGGTGAATTGTGAGGTGTAGGTGTGAGTCTTTGAAACTGTAATTACATTAATTAAGTGAAAGTAATTACTTTGCAAATAGAGGGAACAGCTTGTATGTGTACACAGAAACCAAAGGCTGGAGGAATAGAAGCCATTATGGGAGTCTGCCATTGCAGCCTGGCTTGAGCTGGAAAAAATCTGTCATGTGTCGTGCAAAGGGCAGGGTGACCTTGGCATCGTGCACTGCAAAGAACACTACTCGTGCATGAATGTAGAGCTGTGGCACGTTTCTGTACTTAGCAAATGGAATTCTCTATTGCAGTTAGGCTTGTAAAAGCTACAACAATAAAAGTATCCGTTTGTGTAGGCTTAAACAAGTGTATTAAATTGACACCAGCAAATGGATAAGTCTATTAGTTTATTTCCTTTTTCAAGAATCTGGTTAGTGATGTAGCAAATTCTTTGGCATTATTAATGATATTTGGGTACAACAGTTAATTGAAAACTTTGTAGTCACTTAATTGATAATTCATGCATCAAATCTAATAAATCAAAACAAAATGGATGCAGAGATAAAACGCTAAGCTGACATGATAATTACTGCTGTGTAAATAGTTCCCCTGATAAACAGGGGAACTATTTAATTTTTAATACATCTGTCTTTCTTTTGTGTGTGCTCTTCAATAATTTTCAGAATTCAGGATAGGAAAGTTAGGCAAAATTAAAGGTTTTAAGTAATATACTTAAGCCCAGCAGTTTTTTCAGCAGTCAAGAAATGTTTTAAATTTGAGGTTCTAAGAACTTTAAAAGAGGAGAAAAAATTATAAAGTTGATGTGTGTGTTTTTTCTTTTTTGTCTGAGTTGTTTGTTTGTTTCTTGGTTATTGGGTTGTTTTTCCTTGTGTGTCCAACTTAAATAATACCAACTACTTTTAAGAATAAAGTAACGGCCAGAAATTATTTGCAGGATGATGTGAAATTATTTCATTGCAAGCAATCAACATTTAAACTTAATTTTGTACAAAGAAAGGGAATATACCCAAAGTTACCTCTTATGTAAGGATGCCAGAGCATGGGATTAATCTCATAATGAAAATAAATTAAACTGTGAAGACTTTAATCATTTTGTGTGGGTAAAACCTTGCCAACTCAATTTCTTTCTGGAATTCATATTTATTACATAAAACAAGGCATCAAAGTTTTATGTGATACACTTGAAGCATGGTCACAGATAGAAATTTTCTTTTGGAATTTTGATTTTGAGGACCCAATACTAAATATGTTATGGTTTTATTTAGCACAAGAATTCCTTCTCGCATTTCTGATGGTTTTCTTTGAGCACCTTTCTGATGTCAGTGTCCAATTATAGGTCTCGATATCACTTGTGTTTTGGTGTGCTAAGCACCTTTGGTTTCACTCAGTTTGAATTTACCGCTGAACCTCAATCCTGTATTCGTGTGACAAAGTTTAGATGCTCAAGATAGATATTTTTTTTTTCCCCCTCTAGAACTACCCAAAGAACTTGGTCACTTGGTATCCAGCATTTTTCAGACAGCTGTGAACACAAGTAGAGGTTGCCTTCTGCAATAGCAAATAGCTCTATGACATCCTTTCAAAAAGCTGTCTTCCAACAATTTATTTCTGCTTTATTATGACATGTCAATCTTATTACATTTTTGTTTCTGATTTCATTTAGCCTAATATTAAATGTTAATGGATGTGGGAGGTTACTAGAAGTAAAAAAGTTTCAAAATATAATAAGACTTTTTTTTTTAATAACCAATTTGAAATTAATATGACACATATGTCTGTAAGTGAAAACCTGCATTCCTAACAAATGTTTGCTCTCAGTTTAATTTATTTTTAACCTGTACAGAAATGTTTGAATTCCATTCAAGGAAAGCCTTCCTTTTTTTTTTTTTTTTTTTTCTTGTAGTTAGATACAGATTTCAGTTACTATTTAGGACCTATTAGAATTTAAATGGTTGGAAGTGTTCAGCACAGAAAATCTTTCTCTGATGCTTAGAATTAATTAAATTATTGGAGTTCCTATTCTTCCTTTAAGAATATTGGAAATTACACATTTTATAACATTTTAATTTTGAATATAAATTCTTTTTCTGAAACAATATCCTCACAGCTGCAATAATCTTTATTCAGGAAAGATATTTTGATATTTATTTTGAATATGTTATATGTCAAACTGCAAGAGGTATGTGAAGGTTTTGTTCACATGTTATGCTCTATAATAGCCTATCCTGTATTATACACAGAAGGATAAGTAGTCAGAGAATTTCTGGTGCAGACACTGAATATCTAACAAGTACGAAATAAACAAGGTATTTTTTTCATTCTCCTCCTTTCTCACCATAAATCTTCTCAAGCTTCCTAAAGATGTGTGCTGCACCACATTTCTTTCAGATTCACAGTCACTGTACACCTTAATTAAAACCTTGGTACTGTCCATCTCGAGTACCCCCTCCTTCCTGCATCACCTGTGGCTGCCTTCTTGAATGTGTGCTTGAATATTAAGTTGTCTTTCACTTCTGAATTCTTGTAGCATTTTTTGTTATTTCTTCAGGCAGATACAATGTTGAGGGAAACTTTAGGGTTAGCTTTTTTCTTTTTTAAGGCTTCTTCTTTGTACATATATGTTTGTGTGTGTGTATATATTTCTATAACACTTTCTATAATATTTGGTAATATTTTTGCTTTTTCTATCTACCTTTCAGCAGTTCCCCACCTTACATGCAAATTTCTTTGCCAACTAGAGTTTAAAAGATATTTGAAATATTAAGCTATTAACTAAGACAAGTATGCAAATATAGGTCAGTTGCTTATGTTGAAAATTTTATATCCATTAAAATGTTGTGATTTTCCCTCTGAAATTAATTAGAATTCTTGGACTAGCACAGGAGTGTCTTTGTATAGGGAATGCTTGTAGTACAGCGGTAAAATTAATTATTTTCAAAGGGTAAATATCGAGATTTTAATAACACTTAGCGTAGCTGCCAACTAAGAGGTTTTCCATGGGTTGGTTTTCTAAATTGGCCTGAGCTCTTGCAGCTACTGGCAGGGGAGCCTGCCTGTACTCTGCTGAATTTCAGCACTTTTGCAAGATCTATGCTGAAAGCTAGATTTATTCGCTATTATATATGGTGAAAAATACCTTGTTTTATGCTTGTTATCATCAACTTCTTGAGGTCTCACTTTTAAAAACGCAAAAAAACCCCTCCAAGGAGTCTTTTTATGGAATAGGAAAGAAATGTATTTAAGGACGGGTCAGTTGATTAACTCTCACAAAGAAGAAAGTTATCTTCTCTGAAGATCACTTAAAAAAACAAAGGTTGAGGGTGAAGACAAGAACATCATCTGACAGAGTAAGAGAAACTGCTAATTTATGTTTGTGGAAAGCTTTGGAATACCTTGTCACTGCATATTTCTTACTAGGTTAAAATAAAAGTGAGACAGCTAAGAAATCATTTACTTTCAAAATCAGAGTTTGACAACCTGAACAGATGATTTAATGTACCTTAATTTGCTATGCTAAAAAATTTGCATCCACAGAAGGCATGGACCATCTAGCATTTGAAATCTCGGCAAACCGAATGATTAGTTATTACTTTCTTCAAACTCTTCCCCCTGCAGACCATGCAGCTCTCTGGAAATTTCATGCAGGCTTCTATACCAGGCAGCTTAAGAATTCAAGAGAGAGAAATAACTTTGTTCTGTGAGCAAACACGATGGAGATGATAATTTTCACTAGAGGAAAGCTTTCCTTTTAAACATGGATAGGTCACAAGTACATTAATCTTGTAGTCCTAAGTGTAAAAATTTCCATGATGGGAGTGAGTCAATAAGGATGCTCTACATATACTTACCCATCCTCTTCTGATCCCTCCATTTCCCATTGCTTGCCTACATAACATTAATATTCTTGTAATCACATCCCACCATCCATGTTTAATGGCTAGCACTGTGGAGTGTTTCATACAGGGGACTTTCATCTGGTTTACTACTTTTAAATGTGATATTATAACAAACACTGAAACAAGGTCAAATAAGTTGCAATGACACCTGTCTTAGGCTGTGCTATAGGACAGTATAGATGTGATCTTTGGCCTGCCTGTGTCTGGCAGAATGTGCCAACAAGGGATGGATGACTGAATTTCATCACAGTTCTGATTGTACCCTGCCACTGTTTCAAACTAATCTCACTGACAGGCATGGATCTAACACTGAATACTCTGGAAAGTATGAGATCTGTAAGTGCTGTTACTCTTCAGAGCTTTTTATCATTCTGCTTCTTACAAGTCCTTTTGAATGCTGCTGTAAATACAGTGCCAACACCCTTGGGCCACTAAATGTATGAGTTCCCAGAAGCAAAGTAAATTCTGAATTTTTCAATATTTTTGCAAACCTTAAGAGAACTCGATCCTTTTTTACCTCCAAGCAAGACTCTAGTAGAATACTCAGCACCAAGGCAAAAAGAAACCTAAAATTGCTACCTAGAAATAACAGCTTTCTTCAGCAGAAAGGAGAGAATAAATGAGTTATCCAAATGCTTATTTCTTGAAAGATCTGCAAGTATGAGTTTTCAAAGTTTTCAGCTATTAGAGTACAGGCAGTTTATTTGGAGAAGGTTTTAATACTTAGGCTAAAGGATGAAGTAAATGCATGCAGTAATTACAAATATGTCTGAGTTGCTAGGATTCAGTGATAAAAGAAAAGTATCAGCAGCAATTCTCTCATCTGACTTTTCATGAAAAGAAAAATAAGATTGTGGAGAAGATTCTGATTTCCACAGATCCTAAGGATTCTGCCCAGATGAACTTTGGTCCCTGCTATGTTTAGGAGCAGTTTTCAGTGATCTCATATGTAGCATATCTGATGTACGAAAAATGAAGATCTATCCCATTAAAATATTGCCCTTTTGATAGGTTGATGAGTTAGTTGGCTGTTTTGCTGTTTGTTTTTTTTCCTGGTGTGACACATAGAGAGGTAGAAACAGTAGTCCAGCTAACAAACAGTGTCTGATTTGTGAGGATTTTTGAAGGCCTGTTTCTGAGCCTATACCAGCAAATTCCTTACTCTTCCCATTTTTAGGATTTTCAGTCTGTGAAATCATGACATCTTTGAGCATATTGTGTTTCTCTTGGCAGTGCTTGCTGGGTAGGGTCTTTGTTTTCTCACAGCAGTAGTGATGCAACTTTACAGAGTGGTTGCTCAGAACTTGGCCAGTCAGGAAAACCAAAAGGAAAGGAAAACCCAATACCAGCACCTATTTAAAAATATAGGTTCTATTTTCAGGTCTGTAAGCACTTGTTGTGTAGATTCTTTTGAGAAGTACTGAGTCTGAAGCACTTCTGTTGGAGAGAAGAGAAATTTATATTTGGTCAACAGATGCATTTTATTTTGGAAAGTAAGGTTTTTTAGGGGCTAAATCTTATATATTCAAAACACTAAAACTGCACTTCTGGTCTTTCTGTACACTCTGAGTCTGATGCTTATTTCAAAGACACTTCAACTTTCCCAGTAGCTTAGGAGACAAAATTTCATCCTATATCTTGGGTTTTCCTGACTTTAAGCCAGGATCAAAACCTCTAAATTCCCTGAGGAAAGAGGGTAGTAGGGAAAGCCAGAGTCCCTCTAGCCCACATCTACATGATCCTATGGGTTGACTTCAGCTCTTTTATTTTTTCCAATCTCTGATATAAAAATACTAGGTGTATTTGCAAGGGGTTTTTTTGGATTCTGGCTACACACTAAGATGCATACAGATACCCAGATAGCAGATGCTAGCTAAGGAAATATTGCAATCTTAAGTTAATTATGATGAAATGTTTTTTAAGTAAATTATAACGTTTTTTCTCTGAGCAGGTGCACTGAAGAAGGCTGGTATCTCTTTGCAGACAGCTCAAATGGAGAATTTGGTAACACAGCTGACATTGCTACCCCAGTCATCTCCCTTACAGGGCCCAGATGCAAAATCGTTTTCTGGAACCACATGAATGGTTCAACAATAGGTTCTCTGGAGGTATGGAGATGCTCTTTGTTTTGTTTTGTTTTCTGCATGAAATTACTGTGAGGAAATTTATGCCTTCTCTTTTAGTTTTGTTAAAGCCCAGGCTGCTAATAAATGGAAATGAACAACTGCTCTCAACATGTTATGAGATGAAGGAAGCTCAAATAGACTGGAGAAATTATAAATTTCTACAACAAGCAAAAATTGTGACTGTTATAGACATGCCATGGTTGGAACTTTCATACAAGGAAAAGTTTTGTATCACACAGTCAGTGCACTTTGACACTGAAAAGCAGATAGATATCAAATAGGTATTTGAACATCAAGGTCTTTAATATGGGAGCATGAAAAAAAAATTGTATCAAAACTTGACATAAAATCTTGAAGAAAGAGTTTTTCCTTGAAAAGCTGAACATATCACTTTCAGAGTTTAATTATATTCATGTAAGCAGCATTGAACTATTTCTGTGGCATATAAGCAACAAATTTGTTTTCCTATACGCTTTCCTTCATTCCAGTTAAAATAAAAGCACTTCTGTAAAGGAAATTCAACTAATTAGCAGCTTGTTGATAAAATGAGTCACTGCAGAGAGAAATTAATAAAACAGCAACATTGTTCTAAACAATTATTTTTACCACACAGCTTATAATGGGATTTCTCAGGAATGTTATGAAATACCTACAGCATCAGGAATGGATTGAAAAAAATACTCATATGTTACCCAGTCACCTGTGCACTTAGTTTCATATTGGATGTGGGAAGTGCATGAGGATTTAATATACAAATAAATTCTCACTAGCCCGGTTAGTCAGAATAACAAATTATAATAAAGGTTTCAGAACTCAGCTGTTTTAAAAACAAAATTAATATTTGTATTGACATTAGAAATGTAATCTGGGATGTGATGAACTATGTGCCATGCATGTAACTTGCTAGTTATTTAGTGGAAGCACTTTCTATGTTTTCTAGGATTTTTTCCTAAACATTTTTTTGAAATATTGTTAAATTTCTCCCAACTAGGTAAAGATCTTTCTAGGCTGCTTGGCAAGTGGACAAATATTAATTAATCAGAATCAGTGGGAAATCAGTGGATAAATATGGTTCATCCTCAGTTTTAAGACTTGAGACCAATTAATGTGCTTTGGAATTTCTTTGCATACTCTAGGGTCCAGGATTCTTTACAGTGTAAGAATCCATGTTAGTTGGAATTATGTTCAAAGAGTGTTTTGTAGAAATCAACAGCAAATTCTATGGGGCCATGCCCACTATTACCAGCACAAAAGGCAAATGTGTATAATATAGATTTTTTCTCAGTTTCAGCACTGATTACAATTTCCCTCTATTCTTTAACTGATTCTTCCTCACCCCCAACTTATTTCATTTCAAGATGTACCAAAGAAAAATCATGAAACCTTTGCACACTGTTAATAATTGCCTGGTTTCAGTTGCTTGATTAATCAATTAATAATGGGTGTAAGAATAATGTAGAATATGAAATTATTTAGGTGTTTTCTCATTATTTATATTAAGAAGGCTCTATATGAATATGGGAATATGAATAGTATGAATGGGAATATTTTCTGTGCTTAATTAAAAGACCTTTTATCCACATCTTGCCCCAAGACTACCACATTTTTTTTACTTTTGCTTGTAAGTCTGCATCCATGCCATCAAATATAATGTAGGATTGCTGAAGATTTTTCTGCCTTTTGCATGAATGGCTACCTTCCTGCATTTCTATTACTTTCTTAAGCATTGATTTGCTGTCACTTTCCTGAGCAACCTCAGTTTGATTATTTGTTGGAATCTTTTTTATTTAGTTGCTGTACTTTGACTTGGCATGGGTAATTCTAGTAAAGTATTAGACGTGCTTTTTTGCAATGTAATTGAAATGTATAGAGGTTCAAAGTACATTAAGATACAGAGAAGCTTTGAGTTTTAATAGCACAGAAATTAATGGCCATGTTTTACTATAAAGTTTTAACCTTTTTCATAATATGATAGAAAATATGAATTTATGATGAAGGAATTGCATATATAATAAATAATTTATAATCTGTAAAAAAATGTGCGTGTGTGTCTATAGTCACAAACATACCTACCTTCATATAAATATATTGTTTGTATTCGAGAGTCAAAAAATAGACTTTCTTATTCAGCACTCTTTATTCTTTCAAATAATGTCTGTAATCCCTTTCTTACGAATTTATTTATTTTCACTTAAAATTCATGTCTTCTATGGCAGATCTTCCTGTCTATAAAGTGAGAAGTCACTTGGTTTTCTATCCAATTTAATATATTATCTATTCTTCTTTTTTTTTCCCTAAAATGAAAGCTCTTTAGTGTGAAGATTTGCTGTTTGCTTGGCAGAACTTACCTGTTATGCAATATCATATACACTCATGGGACTGCATGAATTTAAAATAAAAAAAAGGGTTCTTTCATTATGATGAAAAATGCCTGTGCCACCCTAAGAAGATTACACAGAGTAGCAATAAATCCTTGAAAGCAGAAGGAATTCAGGCAACTGGTGAATGGATGTTTAGCTCTGCTAGCACTGGCTGGAGACACAGCTTGACACACTTCATCAAACACCCATCTTCTTATTGTCAGCTCTGTTGAATTTGGATGTCCAAGAGATTGGATCAAAGAATATTTAGGACTTTCTGCTCATATCGAAGTGTGTCATCATTCCCCAATTTGCAGTTTACAAGAGCATGGGCTTTTAAAAGTCTTGCATTGCTCAGACAGATGAAATTTTGTCTTTACAAAAAATGAAAAAAAAATTATTTATCAAAATCTATTTATAAAAAAATTATAAGGAAGAAACAATATGTTTCCTAAGAATCAGGACGAGAAAATCCATTCTGGAAGAACAGTTCATTGTATGTATGAGCAAATATATTTTTCAGTAAGTCTTGTTAGCCCTATTTCCAAGTTGTACAACTGAATCACAACCCACTGATGAACAATTTTTATTCACTGCTAGCCACTCTAGATAAATTATGAGATACATTAGTTCAGTTAAGGCTGTGTGCTGGGTATGTCTCTGAGGAGATCAGAAAATCTTAAAACATTATTTTCTTAGTACAGTCATTTATGCTGACATATCCATGTGCATCAGGTTGGACATTAGGAAAAGGTTCTTCACCTAGAGGGTGGCTGGGCACAGCACAGTGCATGGGGCACCTCAACAGCCTTAGTTGCATCATTCAGCTTTAGGTAGTCCTGCAAGGAATAGGGATTTGGATCTGATGGCCCCTTCCAATTCCAGATATTCTATGACTCTGTGAATTTTAATGGTGGAATAGAGATTAGTTGTACAAGATAATATTGTACTCTTGTATACAATTATAAGACTCTTAAGTAAGTTCATAATGGAAACATTTCTTTTGTGACCTAGAATTATTTTCTTTTTTAGGTACTCTATAAAAGCAGTAACAAGACTTCTACACTGTGGACTCAAAGTGGCAGCCAAGGTCCCCAGTGGAACAGAGCAGAAGTGTTCTTAGGAATTCGTTCAAATTTTCAGGTGTGTCTTCCTACATGACGTTCTTCCTAGAGAGCTGGTTATTAGTACTTCTAAATGAAGAATTCTTCACTTTCTCATTTCCTTTTTTGCACCATGCACGTATCTCTCTTCCCGCATAGAAGAAATCCTCGTTTTCACTGTCTGATTCATTATCAGAGCTGGACTCATGTTTTTTGTGATTTCTCATTCCTCTTTAATCGCAGACTGATATCCATTTTTAAGACTGAGAATCCCATCTACCCTTGAATCCAGCTCTGCTTAAAATATTCTACTTCTTTCTCCTTAGTGGACAGTAAGTAAAAACATCTGGGTTTTGGAAAAAGAATCTTGAGCATGATGCTTCCTTTGAAATCAGAACAGATTCGCAAACCTCTTAGAGATACTTGCTTAGCTGTAGACTTATGAAAAAACTCCAAAATCCCCAAGGATAGTCAGTAACATATTTTTAAAATAGTTACATTTCCTGATACTTCTGTCTTGTAATTTTAATGAAATTTTAACATTCCTGGCAATAAATGATGAATGACAGACTAGTCTTTTTTCAGACTTATTTTGCAGAAGTAGGAAGAACCCTTGCTATTAGTTCAGAGTGAATGAGGACTAGTATCTCTTTGAGTGGCATGATTTATTTCCTTTTTTTTCATGTGCTTGATGATGCTAGAAGATGGTCCTTCAAGAACTATAGTGACAGATCTGTACCAACTGTTGCACAAGAATTTGTAGAAATCTGCTTTGACAGAAAGAAGTGACTGCTTCATATTAAAAGATTTGTGAGGACCATTAGTCTCTATTCTTTTCATGTTGTGTGTGTAAGCTTTTCTCCATCTTATCAGTGGCTTACTATAATAGCTCTGTAATTTTTATTAGGTTATTTTCAGGGCAAAACGTGGTGTCAGTTACATGGGAGACGTGGCAGTGGATGATATTACCTTTGAAGATTGTTCCCCTCTGCTTATCTCAGACAAACCTTGCACATCAGAGGAATTCATGTGTGCCAACAAGTACTGCATCCCAAAGAATAATCTCTGTGATTTTGTAAATGACTGTGAAGATAATTCAGATGAAAGCCCTAGTATTTGCAGTGAGTATGGTGGTTTTTTAATATAATTATCATAAATAACTGTGCCTGCTGTGATTTTTTTGTTACTCAAATGCTTTAGACAGCTCATCAGCTAGGAAAGCAAACAAGAAGGTAACAATTTAATTCTATTCCTTGGCTTTTAAAGATTTTAAATTATTATTCTTTAATTTAAAATAGCACGATACAAAATACAAAGAGCTGCTAATGAATGTCTTAAAATAACTCAGCAGCTGTCTTTAAAAGCAGAATAAAATTATCCTGCTTTCCATATGAAAAGAAGGTATTAAAGCTGAAAAAAGTAATTCAAGCATAATACCTTTGGGAGATGAGGGACCTATCTCCTTAGCTATTTCAAGGGTTGTCAGGTCTCAGCAAATTATTTTAATCTGAACATTGTACAATTTTGGTTTTACAAGACATATCAAGAAGCAACTTATGTAGTATCTGATTCAAAGAATGATGTTTCATATCTAATGGCTCCACCTGGATCACAATATGTGATATTAACATCTCCTTTTTTTACTCCTACAAATGTGGGGAATGTTCACACAATCAAATCTGCATTATTTAGTACCACATGAACAGTTGCTTCATTTTTATTGAGAATATGTATTCAGTTTATCAAATTCTCAGTGAATACAATTTTTTGTGAAGCAAAGGTATGCTGATATCCTATGAAAGCTAAGGTACACGGCAAAGGAACCTTATTTTGCAACTTATTTTCATATTATTAAACTACTCAATGATTTCCAGCCCAGGAATAGTACATCACTATCTTATACTGGGAACAGTTCAGATCTTCTGCAAGTAAAAATGCAAGTTGCAATTACTCTGTTAAAAGATATTCTCAAACTTTGACTTTTGTTTTCTGAAATTATAAAATATTAATGGGGGTTTTTTTTTTTTTTTTTTTTTTTTTTTTTTTTTTTTTTTTTTTTTTTTTTTTTAGTTTTTTGCATTGTCTGTATTTCCCATGGACTATCATCAGACAAGTATAAATTGAAGCATTAAGGGCAAAATGGTTCAAATGAACTGATGGAATTTAGTTTTGCATGGAATAAGGATTTTATTCCAATTTCTCATTGGAAGAGATGAATTGAAACAGTCTCATAAAGCAAATGCTTTTCTCTAACATGTTTGTTATAGGCACAGAATTAGAAGGGATATCAGTGCTCATGCCTTAAGGTTTTGATTCTCGAAAACATGTCTTTAAAATAAAATGGTCAGTTGTATACATGAATTTTATTGACTCAAGATGGAAATTCTAAATAATGAAAGGAATTTCTTTAAGAATGATCTAGAAATATTAAGTAACTAAATAAGTTGAAAAATGTGATTAGGACAAATTTTATGGGCAGTTGCATTCAGTTGAGTTAATCTACAATCTGTGATTTTCATAAAAAGATAATCATCATTTCACACATCAGGTCTGGGTTGGTTTTAATTGTTTCTTCAGATGGCACTGTATTTGCAGACAAAGGTAAAAGGGAAACTAGTTCTACTAGATAGGTCATACTTTTGAGAAAATATTTCTAACTATTTTACTTTATGATACTCACAGATTAAAATTCAAAGAAAAAAATATTTTATCTGATTTCAGCCTGAAATATTTGAGCTGTCTCTTCTATTTTGGTTCATGTCCAGATTCCATGTATTCTAGATCCTTGGCCTGGCTTCTGAGTATCTTTCAAATCAAATAAAACTACTTTAAAGTAGCTGAACTTTATCACACCTCAGAAGAGGCTCAGATTTTGATTAGACATTTTGTAGTTTCTGATGTTGTACTACAAAAAAAAATACATACAGTTTCCAAATTTATCTTCAAAGCACTTTCTGTTTCAGCAATAATAGTAAGAATATTCAGGGCACAGTCAAAAGCCTCTTGGAGTCTCTGCTGAAATTCCAGCTTATTTCAGCAATTTTAGTCTTACTTGGTAATCACTATAATGAACTTATAAATGTATAGAGAGAAAAATATACATAAATTAAACTTCTGGAATGATACAATTGACTTAATTTATGTGGACAGTTTACTCACCATGCTGGCTGTTTTGACATCCAAGATGCAAAAATAGATAAAGAGCATGCATGTTGTTTCATATAAATGTCAACCAAAATTATAACAACTTTCTCCTTTTCTAGGCATTAAGTAAAACGGAAGAAGATAGGTAGATAATTATAGAATCACTTCTGTTGGAAAAGACCTTTAGGAACATTAAATTCCACTGTTAACCTAGCATTGGCAATTACACCCCCAAACCATGTCCTTAACTGCCACATTTATATGGCTTTTAAATACCTCCAGGGGTGATGGCTCAACCACTTCCCTGGGAAGCCTGTTCCAATGCTCAAGAACCCTTTCAGTGAATTTTTTTTTCTTAGTATCCAATCCTAGCCTCTGCTGGTGCAACTTGAGGTCCTTTCTTCTCCTATCCCTCGTTACTTGGGAGAGACACGGAGCCCCAGCTGGCTACAGCCTCCCTCCAGGAGCTGCCAAGAGCAGTAAGGTCACCCCAAGCCTCCTTTTCTCCAACACCCCCTGCCCCTCATCAGACCTGTGCCCCAGGCCCTCACCCTTCTTTGGGCACCATCCACCACGATTATCTGTGTTTCCTTATTGGCAAAGAAAACACAAGTGAATTGAGGAATTGTACAAGAGTAGACTAACTTTGGATGCGATTCAGCTCAAGATTATGGCACCCACATTTATATTTTGTCTGTATGTGTCTGTATAGAGGCTGTGTTTTTATGGTGCTCAATACATTAATTTGGATGTGTCTGCTCCCTAGATATAGGTACTTCTTCCTATTAATCTTCTACTCAATCTTAACATGTTCCTTCAGAAAGAGGCTGGTTTTGTGCACATCTCAAATGCTCTATGGAGGGCCAGTTAAGACCTTAAGGAGCTAAAATAGTTAACTAAATTTGGTTGCATTTATACCAAGGATTCTGTTGACTGTAATAAAAAAAGCACTTGACTCACGTCATATATATGCAAGTAGGTTTATCCTAATAATACATTCCAGAACATTAAAAATGCTCTTATTAATGAGATACAGGGATATTATTTTTTCTATAGTGAAGCTTTCTTTTTTCCCATTGGTTTGAGTACTAGGTTGTACTATATGTACCTAATTAAAATAAATCTCTTTTCATGTGTGTACAAATGTATTTCAGGTACATCTATTGGGCATTGCAATTTTGAGTTTGACCTTTGTGGATGGAAGCAAGATGAAAACGATGATTTTGACTGGCACCTCAGAACTAGCAGTACTGCAAAACTGGGCACTGGACCAGCTACTGATCATACACTGCAAGAGCCATCTGGTCATTATATTTTTATAAAGAGTTCATTTTTTCAGCAACCAGGACAGAAAGCTAGGATTTCTAGTCCTGTCTTAAGCAGAAAGAATAAAAACTGCAAGGTATGTGAGGATGTAGTAGCAGCAAGAATGAATAATTTGATTTCTAGATTGCACCAAGAGAGTACGTCTAAAATTATTAAAGATGCTTATTGAAATAATTCTTGAGGAAAAGAACCCCCATATTTTTGTAAAAAGTCAGGATCAGATCTTAATTCATTGAAACCATAAGGAAAAAAATGTATCTTGCTATGGGAGAAGAATGATTCTGGAAGTAAATGAGTAGTCTGTGAGATTCAGATGAAGCTGACAGTAAATGCAGTGTCAGATTTACAACATCTTATGCAATTCATCCAAAGTAACAAACAACTATTTAGTGGTTTCTGGTTTTATGGAGAAAGTGTGTATAAGGGCAGTAACAATTAGTTTTCAAAGAATACAACTGCAAAAAGAAGGATGTGTGACAGAAGGCTTTGTCACCAGCTCTGCTCTAGAGAATGGGAAAGTGTAAGCCTTGATCTTCCAAAACATTACAGCACATTGTGGTGACTTCAGCTTTGCAGACCTGGAATAAAAAGTTTCCTGGTTTTGATATATCTTTCATTGTTTTTGCTAAAAATATAAATTCCCAGAAACTTTAGCTATGCCTTATTTTGAAGCTGCAAGTTTACCTTTATACATCTAATAAGTAGGCCTCTCAAGAGGATAATTTTTATGAGGTCATTTTAAAAATAGCTTTTGAAATTAACTGTTTGTGTGATCACAGAACTATGCTCATCAAATGAAGGTGGTCTTAGACTGAAATAGTCCTAAATAGTTTATTGACTATGCAGGCTGACATCTCTGTGCAAAATGTCCAGTCACAAGCTTCTAGTTTCATTTATCTCATACTATTCCTGAGGAATATTCCTGACCAGAGTTTAACTTGGAAAGAGGTCTGCTTACGTTTTAGATTTCTAACCAGTTCATTTTACTGAAATACTTCTCTCTGAAAATTCTCCAAACTTTTTATAGATAGAAAAGTCAGGAAGTATTGAACTTAAAGTGTTTAATTTTATGATTCAAAGGAAAAATTGAATAATTATGATATTCAGTAACAAAATTTAATCTAGCCATTATAAAATTATGGTCAAAATTAGAACCATGGTAATTTTTTGTATTGCCTAAAATAAATATATTTTAAAACTGCTTACATAAACATGGAGATCTCAGCCTTCTTCTTCTAGCATCGTATTTGAGAATATCTCTTTCTCTACATTATTTGGTTTTATGCTCTAAAAATAATTTTTCCACTTTTTGACTTCTATGAAGCATAAAATATGCAAAGAAATGCAGAATAACAGAATGACATATTGACATCTGTACTGTTATGATGTACTACAAATTAAATGCAATTAAGTGCTTAAAACGTAACTATGGGAAACTGTTGCTTTTATCACATAGAAAATTATTTATAAAAGTGCACAGATTTATGCACTTTGTAAAGACCAAACTCTTGACATCCATGATGTGGCCTGAAATAATCTGTCATATTTGTAATATTTTACTTTTTGAAGGTTCTGAGCAGTTCTGTAGCTTACACATAGACAAATGACCAAAGGAAGGGCAATTTCTGGTATAGGAAATTGTATGAATGGAAAAAAATGTTTCAAGATCCAAAACTTCATCTTATAAGATCAGAGTCCCCTGAAGTATATTACTCCTTCCTATGGGTTATTTGAGAAGAAAATGCTACATCATATTTACAAAAGATTTAGCATGGGATCTTAGACCATTTCAGATCATTAGAAAATGAACATTTACATCAATGGCACAAGTTTTATGCAGAGAAAACAAATATAGAGCAGTAAACATAAAAGGACATAAATGAATAAAAAGATTTTGTCTATATACAAGGCTTTCAGAAACAAAGCTGCACCTTCAAAAGGAATAGAAATCCAAGACTGAATTGGAAAGAACTGAGAGTACAGTTAAATGTGATGAATTTTTCACAGTGATCTTTTTCTGTATGTATTTGGTCTTTCGGTTTTTAAAATTTCCCCATTTTTACTAAAAATAGATAAATTACTGCTTTCTAATCCAAGTATCTCATATATTTAAGGGTATTTTTTTGCATACGTCCATGAAGAAGTTTTGCTCTCATTATAGACTGAATTATTTTCTAATTGTGCACTCTATAGTCTACAATCTACTCTATAATCTACATAAACACATTTTTAACCAGAAAATTGTTCGGTAAACTGAAGTTGCTTCCTATATTGTAAATAGCACTACTCCATTTCTCTGTTTCCTTAAAAAGTTTTTTCGCTCTTTTACATTTAAATACAAGAGTCATTCAAAGGGATGTAAGATCTGCTGTTGAATATTTTAATACTGGTTTTGAAGCTTGACTTATGGAATATTTAAAGAATTGCCACTAGTATGTTGTTTTGTTGCCTTTTGATTATATTTTAATCAGCAAAATTAATGACTACTCTGAATGCTGTAACTAATGCTCAGTTTAAGAATTAGAGTAAATACAACAGCAGAATTTGACTGAAGTCGCCTATTGAATACTTTATGCTCTCGTTTTTGCTTACAGATAATTTTCTATTATCATATGTTTGGAGCTCACATTGGATCCTTGATTATCTACCAGAGAACTACATTGAAAAATGAAAAAATTCTCTTTAATCTTACTGGAAACCAGGGAAATTTCTGGCAGCGCAAGGCATTGACCCTGTCTGGAGATGGCGATGAAGATTTTCAAGTTGTCTTTGAAGGGATGGCTGGAGAAGGTACCAAAGATGGCATAGCACTTGATGACCTCACATTTTCCAGGGAGTGCTTACCATCCCAGGAATTTTTACCAGCAGAACCCACAAAGCTACCTCCAACAGGTATGTTCCTGCTATAGACAGTCTTGGAAAGAAGAAATATCAGCATTATTTTCATTTCTTTGTCTCTCTTTCAAAAGAGAAATCCATATCTTGCTAAAGATGTGTGGAAATTCTAACACTTTTAGGCAGCCCATGAAATTCTAATGAAATCATTTTATGAAATTGTTGTTTGGGTACTGAGTCAAGCATTGTGAATCTGCAAATGTTATTGTCTAGCCAATATCCTGCTTAATTCAGTAGGATTTATTTATCAAAAGTTGTAAAATAGAGTTGTTGTAGAGAAAAGAACTGAATGGGACAGAGCTAATATGGATAGTTTGCAATAAGGCCGGCAGGCTTAAATGGTTTTTGGCTGGTAGGAATTGCTACCAATACTGCTTAGGCACCATATCCATCTTCTGCCGGTGTGATATGGTGCCAGCATCAGTGCAATTATTAGCACCATCTTCACTTACTCCACTAGGGAAATAAGACTCAGAAAACATTTACCAGAAATGATACAGTCTAGATGGGGATAGATCCCAATAACCCCAAGGTAAGAGCTACTCATGAAAGCACTGATGTTGTACCTTTAGCAGTATTTGCTTGGACACAAATGATGAAGGAGAGACTCTTTTTGACAGGACAGGACAAATCTTTTTCCTCCTTCCACATTTATCACAGAGCTACTGAAATGTAACCCTCTAAAGTGGAATTTAGGAGATGCATTTTCTTCCTGGGCCTACTACAAATTTCCTGCATGGCTGCAGAAAGTAATTTTATCTCACTTCTCTGTCTTTCTGATCAATAAAACAAAGTTAATATTTCCCAGTGTCAAGGACTACCACAAGAATGGATCATTAATTTATGCAAGCAACTTTGCTTTGTTACTGCTGCTAATGAGAAGCTTTCCCCTTTAGGATGTCATTAAGCACTGCTCAGGCATTGGGAAATAACACTGATGAGACTACATCAAACCCAAGAAATTGCACTGAACTTTGAGCACTAGATAAGCAGGAAAGATACAGGCAAAATTTTCCAGACATCTCTCTGATAAGGTGCCAGTTCTAGTACTGTTGGCTTCCTACTTCTGCCAAGCCAGTCATGGAAATTTATTGCAAATGAGATTTGTATTTTAAAGTTCAGCTTTATATGAACATTACCCCAGGAGAAACACTAGCCAAGCCTTCTTATTCTTTATTTTTGTTGTATTCAGACTCTATCCTCTTAATGGGAGCTGCAAGTCCCTGTGGCAATGTTAGAAGCCTTAAAAGCTTTGGGTTTGATAGTAAAGGATGTTCCAAAACACTTTTATGTTTTATAATAAAAAAGATACTAAAATCTCATGAAAGAGCCACCAGAGATGGATTTCTTGGTGTAGCTCATCTAAGGTGTACCTTGTGAACTTCAGAGGTTCACAACTCTTTAAGGCAATGGTTTAAATTCATCCTTACAACAAACCATATTTTTTATGTTGACAAATTTTACTTGTCCAGGATAAGAGTTGGCATGATCCCACTGAGGGATTCAACTACATCTGATACTTAGCAGGGATATCTGCATCACTACTTGTCACTGGGTCTGCTTCTGCCTATAGAAATGCTCTGAACTGTGGCAAAATGGATTCTGGATATTGTGAAAAGTGCTCTGTAATGCAACTTTTTAAAATAGAACCAGCTAGAATGGCCACGATGGTCAGGTGCAAAAATCTGCAGCCCTAGACTTATCTGCTTATATGTAGAAATAAAGGAAAGTTTAACCAAAAGTAAAACACTTATATCCATTGATCAGGTTTTTGAAAGTTTCTGAGGATGAAGAGATCATGCAGCAAAGATCTGTTTCCTTCTTGTCACCAGCTAGGGAATATATTTGCTAAGAAAGTAAAAAATGTTTCCTCTTTAAGAGAGAAATTTGTAATTTGTGAGGTCTACTCTAATACAATTCCTTTTCATTTTTAAATTTCTTTTAGATAATATTTGTAATGCACATATCAAAGGAGATTCTTCTGAGCCATATTGAGCCATATCACTGTATACCACAAGTATAATAAGTAGTCTTTGCTTGTTATTTTTGTGCATAGAGTCATATGGCAATGAATGTAAAGACAAAATAGAACAGAATCATTAAATGTTCCCATCTGTGACACAGACTCTCATCGTTCAGAAGATTTTTTTCCCTGACTATACAAACACCCTGAAATTCTGCACATTAACAAAAATATATTCTAAGGTGACTGTTTCATTGAGCCAAACATGCAGTAATGTTTAAAGATTGGAAGTGAGCACTGGACAGCTAGAAAAAAAATAATATTGAAAGTTAGCATTGTCATGTTCTGTAAATACAGGATACTGTAGTTCGCTCTCAATATTCTGCTTAGCAACAATAATGCTGAACTGCAAAGCCACTGAGAGCCACTTAAATTGCTGGGCCTGAGAAACAATAAACATAATTTTAGGCTGGCCCTTATCAAATTTTCATTGTATGAACATCAGTTTTTGCTCATGTGCCACAATGGTACTGTGTGGAGGAAAATGCAAAGGCAGTTTTGTTCTGACAATGCTCTTTGTGCCTGTTGCTGTGTGTCTGCAGTATGGAAAGATTTTTGAGTTAGATTCTGCCTTGTGTAAAAGGCTTCCCTATATCCACATCAGCCCAGGAAGAGACCCAGGCCACACTGAACCTTGTGAAAGCTACAGTTGTTTCTGTGTTTGGTTTGTGTGGCAACGTTTTGGTGTCAGGGGCCTACAGGGGTGGCTTCTGTGAGAAGGTGCCAGAAGTTTCCCTCGTATCCAACAGAACCAATTCCAGCTGGCAGCAGGATGGACCCACTGCAGGCCAGGGCTGAGCCCAGCAGAGATGGTGGCAGCATCCCTGTGGTAACAGATTTAAGACAGGGAAAAGCTGCTGCATAAGAACAATTGCAGCCAGAGGGAGGAGTAAGAATATGCAGGAAAAAGAGCTTTGCTGGCACCAAGGTCAGGGAAGAAGGAGCAGGAGAGGTGCTCCAGCAATCTCTAGGAGATTCCCCTGCAGCCTATGGTGAATACCATGGTGAGTTAGGCTGATGGAATAGTTATCCACAAGTTACCCATTAATAATATTTTATATTTATAGTTGTTTCCAAAAAAGGCATCATGGATTTGACAAAATTTTCTGTGATCTCTAAACTTGGTTTTCCTCTTTTCTTTCTATCCCTTCCCTCCTGCAGTGTTGTTACTGAGTATAAAAATTGCAGATGCCTCCATCAGAGTTTCTGCTCATGTCTCCTACCATTCACCTGGGAATACAACAGCTGCCAAGGCCTGCCTGATCAGATTAGCAGGCTACAATAAAGAAAAGCTATTCCCAGAGACTAGAGAACTGTTATCTGCTGACTTCAGTTTTGTAGAGAAGACAGTTATTTTCAGCAAATTAAAAGCAATTCACCAAAAAGTGGAACATGTCTTTGAGAACTTTGAGAACATAGGAATATTAACAGAGAATCACATCAAGGTCCATTTCACTTGATATCCTCTCTACTGGTATCAGTGAGATACTGAACATATATGATACTTCCTCTTAATGTTTCTAATATTTCCTTTTTAGGAGACTTTACGAACCAAATGTGGTTTTGGATAGGTAGTAAATCTTAATGTATTTGCCTTCTGTATAGAGCCTAGTTTCTCTAGAAGCACATTCAGAAGTATAGCCCCCTTCTCATTTCTTGCAGCAAGTTGTACAGTTCTGCCACTTGCTGAGAAAACGATTTTTTGGTTTTACCCTCTTTTTATTGGAAATGGTGAACAGCCAAACACACCTAGTCCATATTGTTCTCTATGCAATCATCCTTAATCAACATTATATTCTGAAGGAGTTTCAACTTATTTCTTACATGGAAACTATTCCTTATGTTCTCCTTTCTCTGACTTTTAAAAAAATCTACTATCCTCTTCTGGGATTGTAAAATCAGGTCTGTGTAGAGCAGTTAGGAAATGAGTGACCAGTGGACTGATACTGTGACAAAATGGTTCTTTTTCTCTTTTCTCTCTTTCCTGATAAATCCTAAAATCTTGATGTTTAGTCCTTTGTGAGTACCGGGCTTTTGTGTTCCTGGAACTGTTTCAGTACTGTGCTCCATCACTCTTTAGGAGGGGTAGTGAAAGGATTCCATAACCTGTGAAAGATGGGCTGTGCTATTCTGCGTTACTCAATAACATCACATTTCATTGCCAGTCACTCAGGGTGCAATTTATTTGCTAAATTGTGACTTTATCTCCATTGTAGTTGTATAAAACAACTGATGAACCTGTGGGGGCTGGATGTTACATATGCATATATACACATATATATGCATACCTATATATATATATGTATATGGATGTTACATATCTATATGTACATATGTATATATACATACACATATATGTGGATATTACATATACAGGGATTATAAGGAAGTGAATGTCCTGCAGTGGCAGCTGATGTCAGAAAGGTTTTTTAGTTCATAACTGGCATAATGGGTACATAGTAATAACTAGTTCATAACTGGCACTGGGTACAGTCCCATTAAGCAGGTTCATTTTCACAAAAAAGTTTTCCTATTATTCACAATTGTTCCTAGCTTGTATCACCCTGAACGCCTTCAGATCACTGGCAAAGTTTCTTAACTCATGGCTCATGAATTTCCCTTGTTTTTTAAAAGTTAACGTTAAAGAGTACAGTCTTGCTGGTTTTGTCTTTTTTTGGGATTTTTTTGTTTTGGTTGATGGGGTTTTTTTGTTCTGTACTGATTTTTACATAATTTTAGTACAAATTTCTACTTCACAAAAAATTTAAAATATATAGAATTTGGTCAGCAACATAATTGCAATAAATATATGTAAGGTTGTAGAATAATAATGAAATCAGATTTGCCAAAAACATTTTCATTTGAAATATTGTTTAAAAGTCTAGAGTGTACTCTAAAGGCCAAAGGATATTGCTTATATCACTCTTTTGCAGGTATAATTAGATCTATAAAAGTTTACAGACACATAAATAGA